CCCGAGACAGACAGTAGCGAAGCTCGCAGACATCCATTTGTGTTGTAATCAAACATGGTTGTCTGACAGATCAGGCTTCTGGTTAGAGGCTGTAGGATGAAGCAAGAGCTGATGATAGGAATGGGGCTGACTAGGCAAGGCATGAAAAGTATTTGTGTGTGTATGCATTTTTCCATGTACCTAATGAGAGCTTCAAAATATGGACCTTTGTTTTGCTTGAGAATTGTAATAGCAGCGCATAAAGCCCAGATTATATTTCAGGGTAATCTTTCCTGGGTGGACACGAGATCAATCAAGCAGCACGTTTTTTTCCCCTCCTCCCCCTCTTTCTTCACTTCTATCAATTTTAATGGTTGAGGGACATCCTTCAGAAAAAACATAATGGGACAAGAAGATGGATGAGAACATTTGTGGCTAACTGTCTGGAGACAGTGCTGAATGTGGTGGGGGGTGAGGGCAAGGTTCAGCAGCCTTGATGTACCATCAAAAGCATCACAGGCACATGCCGGTACTCATAGAAACAAAGTGGGAGTTTATTTTGCAATTTAAATTCTATTTCACAGAAGAGCTGCAATTAACGTTTTGTTTCATTATTTACTGATGACAGGATTAAAACACTGTTCAGCAGAATACAGGGAGCATGTATAAAGAAAACAGAATAGGTCCCACAATGCTTAAAAAAACCATAATCAGGAACACCAAAAGCAAACAACTATAATGTATTGGCGATTCAACAGGGAAAGTTTCTTGAACACTCAAGCTTTGGAAGTGCTCCAACTGTAAGTCAACTAATATTGTCTGAGTAGAAACTTTCAAAAGGACGGACACCCAAGATTACTCCTCTCCCACTTTGCAACTTTGAAAATAATGTTCTTGCTTACAAAGATAACACAAACACTTGTGACTCTTGCAGGCTTTCTGTATGTGATGATCCATGCAGCCTGGTGCAGCTTGCCAACCGCTTTCTCAGAAAGCCTGGTCCTTGTGATAGCTGCTCAACCTTTTATTGAATGCATATCCATTATACACATGGCAAGTGGTGTCAACGAAGCAGCAGCAAGTCAGCTGTGTCCTAGACCCTCTCCGGTCCACAGGTTTCACATCTAGTGCTACCACACAGAACAGAATATTCACCCTGCTGCAGAAAACTCTTGGGAATCGCCCTTCACTCCAGGAACAAATGAATTCCAGATCTGCTTCATTTCATGTCTGCCTGTCCTGCAATGCCAACCTGGTGACACTGCTCAACATGACATTGCTAAACTCTGAGATTCCATTATAGTCTGCCTCCTGAGCACTGTCACACTGAAATTCATGAACACGGCTTTCTTGTTTTATAGTTAGAATATTCACTAAGACTGTTTTTGTTTTGTGTAGAGAGATTTGTGTGTGCATGTGTGCGTGTGTACATATTGTGTGTGTGTGTGTGTGTGTGTGTGTGCACTGTGTGTGTCTCATTCGCATTCATATGCATCAGCAAGTTATCAGGGACTGCTGTGCCTCATTGAGCTGAGAAGCTGCTTTCCATTTATTTCTGAAATGCAGAGGAGAGTGATTCTGCTCTCGTGTAATAAAACTTGTACTGTAAAACTGGCTATGCTGCTTTCAAAACTTCTAGTAACTAAAAAGAACGACAGGCTCATTGGAGAATTACAAAACAGGATAATGAAATGCAGAGGGTATGTACGCTGCACAGCTAAGGATGAAAGTCATTACCCAGCAAACTTAACAGTGGCTGGCTGCTACTGTAGCCTAGTGGTAGCTTACCATCAGCACCGACTACTGAGTTCTGACACCTAAAGGAGTCCTGGGTAGGGTAGGTTTGACTGCAACCCTATTTGAAAAAAAGCTTTTGTCAAAAGACAATGCAGACCATTAATACATCAACACAATGCAATAATCTCATCCTATCCACATAACTCAGAGCTACACTGTGTTGCTCCTCTCATCAACATCTGCCATCCAGCTAATTAGTCCCAAAAAAGCCACACATCACTGGGTTTCAGTGGTGCACAGACAATGTGTGACACTCTTGAGGGGCGCGCTCACAGACACAATGGGAATTACAAAGCTCTGCCAGATCACAAAGCGAATCAACTACGGTATGTTATTGTCTGCAAAAATGGCCTGAACAGCAGCCTGGTGGAGAGCGCAAGCTGTAAGAGTCTGGCTGACTGTAGTCTGTGAGCTGCTAACCCCAAGGTCAATAGGTTCAACAAGGTTTCATTCTTGTTGACCAAAAATTAGAAAATAAACTTCCTTCTGCTCCTCCACACAGAGGACAATCATTGTAAGGCTAACTGGAATGGAATCCAGCACAAAGTAGGCTGGAGCAAAGGTTGAAACAAATGCAATCACAGAAGATGAGAGGAATCAAAAAAGAGAAAGAAAGACAAAAAAGAACAATTCACAAGTGATGATCAGTAGTAGGTGTAAAAATAAGAAAGTTGGAGGCTACAAGAAGATTCCCGCTTCCTCTTGTCCAGGCAAGAAAGCTGATACAATAAATAAAAAATGTCAACCCTGTGAGATAGCTTTGCAGGCCAGCTGAGAAAGGTAGAATGGTAAGCACATTTCCATGCAGAACACCCGCAGCCGTGAGAATGGAGAGAAAGGGGGAATGGAGAGAGAGTGAGGGAGCCAGCTATTCATAAATCTCCCACAGCTAGTGGGGTCAGGCAGACGGGGAGAGTGTCAAAATTGTTTCTTGGTGTGAAGGGAAGGGGAGGAAGGTGACTATCCAACCACTGTGACTGACTCCTGCTCCTCGAATCAACCTGCTGCAAGGCTGGTCAGTCACGCTGTGACACCATCAAACCACTTCTACCTCATTTGCATACACACATTTACCGACTCTGCATAATCACAAGAGTATAGTGGCCAGTTTGTGTGTATGTATATGTCTAGGTGTGTGTGTTTCTGAACAGCAAACAGACAGGGCACAAAGACAGAAAAAAGAAAGGAGCGAGAATTATAGAAAAAAACATGGAGCGAGGGTGAGGAGTGGGCAAGCTAGACAGATGAGATGATATGTAAGAAAGAGGATTAGGTTTCCGGCGGTGTGAGTAGTGAGCGCAGCTTCATGCTGTCACAACACACTTCTCCTGACCACAAAGACACGGTGACACACTTCTTTAGCTGCAGGGAAAGCTCCACTGCCTGGAGGAGACTCTCCATCCTGTCGGTCTTCTTCTTTTCTACTTCTGCTGTTTTTATGCATTTGCTGTTCTGGTGTACTGCTTGTTGTTTTCTCTCTGAGGACATGTGTATGTGCACAAATATGTACATGTGACAAGAGGTATGTGGGTCTTTTATTTGTGAAATGTTCAAAAACCACACATTCAAACCAAAAAGTCTTACTCAATAACTTCCCCTCTTTTTTCACCTGTTTGCTCCTTTCTTTAATTTCCCTATTACCCTTCTCCCCTCACTAGCACTTTCTCTAACAACTGCATCTTTAACGGCTTACTCTCTATTCCCATCCCAGTCTTTATCCTCTATGCTCTATATCCTTCCTGCCTACCCTCCCACAGTGGTGATCAGAAAGTAGGTGCTGATGTTGCAGCTCCCGCCTGAACCGGCTTCGTATATCAGTGGGTGGACCGACATGCCATAGAGCTCCTGTCAACAGCAAGGGTGCCCTGGAGACTGGCCCATTGGCAGATACTGATCCCCTCTGCTAAACCACAAGAAAGGAGTCAACCCTATTTCTTAACAACTGGTGCGGAGAGAGGCGCAAAAGCCAAGATAAGCACCAAGACAGCACTATTTTTATGTTCCTCCTGAGGGGAGGCAGGCACTGCGGCAGCTACCTTTTCTTCCTTCATCATCCCTGGATAATTCTGTCTGCTTGCTAATATTAAAAAGACTATTAGTGAATGCAACCTCCTTTACTGCTGATTAAGAAGCTTCCAGCACAGCTTTCTCCGGTGGTTCCAAATGTGGTTCCAAACCTGACTGACAATGTCCATCACCAGAGTTCATCTCAAGTTGCACACGAGCTGAAAGCTACAGGCAGTGGTTAACCCAAGACAGTTTGCCACCCCCGCTTCCCCTCATCCCATCTCTTCACAAGGGTAAAGAGAGACATTTCACGTCTAATTAATGCACAGGATGGTTGTATAAAACGGCTAATGAGACTGTGATCACAGTGGCGTGAAGGCAGGCGCTACTGGAGGGGGGGATGAGCACTACTCTACTTCCAGGAGACACTGAGCTTCACAGTTATTAGCCTGTCACAGGAAGAGGGCTAATAGGGAGACTGGAGGTGTTTGGGTGAATGCTTGTTTATCTGTTCTGCTTAGCCACAGCCTGAGATATATTCATCCCCCTATTTGTCTGGTAACTCACAAAATGCTCAGAATTAATTGTATATGAAAAAGTAGAGAGTGACTTTTTCATAAAAATGCATAACTACTCTGCAGCTGAAGTCTAACAAGGCATGAATGAATCTGAACTGTACGAACAAAAATGCATATTGCATTTGTGGCCTGAGCTTAAGACCTTAAGATTAAGTTTTCTCCAAGTTAAAAACAAACAAAAAAACTGTTTTACAGCGACACCGGCAGTGCCACAAGAAAACTTTTAATGTATGTGAATAAGTTCAATGACACATTGTGAACGTCATCCAAAGACTCTAAAATTTGCACAAATACATCATGTGAAATTATATTTGTGTGCTCACGCGCCACTATTTTATAAAAAATTAAATGTACACTGGCTGCTCTCTAAGCAACTACACATTACTAAAAACACATCTGTTGGTGAGCAAGAAGCCTCTCTCTCCATTATGCTGCCTCACTTTCATTTTGTGTATTAATCCTTCATTCATACCTTTTTAATCTTCTCCATGAAACACTCCCAACAAGGCTTCTGTCTTGGTTTGGAACCCATTTTCAACAACAAGCAGCAGCAGCCTAGAAGTGCTCTCCGCACAGCATGCATAATGAATCATATACAACAACACACACAATCGATGAGTCTGCCGTGCCTCTGCTCACCTGTGCAATCTCATACAGCAGCTTGTAGTGTTCCTCTCGCTTCTGTAAAGTGCACAGATTGCAGCCCATTATAGTCGTCGTGGAAACGCCAGGCGTCCAATTCTCCCCGAGTAGTGGTGGTACGGACACAGGGGGTCACCCTCCACACCGGAGCGCTGGTTCTCATCAGTCACTCTTTAGCAGGCATCTCTTTCAGACATCCCATTCACACATAAACCTCATGCACAACCCCAGGTCAAAAGGAACAGAAAGCTCCAGTTGAGTCTAACAGATGAAGGTTCAGATGTGAACAGTGTAGCAGAAGCTTCAGCAGTGGTACAAGTAGCAGCATCAGCCGGTGTGTCTCCTCTCTCCTCTCCCGCTCCCGCTCCCTCTATTTCACAGACTCACACACACATGCACACACTCGCATGCCGGAGTTGTGACTCTCGTTCACTGAGACACTCCCCCCTTTTCCCTCCTCAGTGTAGGCGCACATGACTACGCTGATACCAGCTCATGAATAATGAGGGGGAGCACTGTGATATTCATAAGGGAGGCGGGAGCAGGGGAGGGGACTGACGGAGAGGGAGGGTTGTGTGAGAGCAAGAGCGCTGGTTCATTAAAACTGAGGCACAGTCATACAATAAGCTCCTTTGTGTGAGCAGCTCCTGTGAAGAGATTGGGCAGGGCTGCAGGAGGTGTTGAAAGGCGTATGTGTAACCTACCTGCATCTGATGCTATTCATTGATTGTTTATCTGCTTCATGAGTGGAGGATGTGTTGCCAAGTAGTGTTCATTTCTAAAGGATATGAGGAATGACATTATATATCTGAACCGTTTTACAGTGACACCGGCAGTGCCACAAGAAAACTTTTAATGTATGTGAATATGTTCACATTCTGATCACCACTGTGGGAGGGAAGGCAGGAAGTATATAGAGCGTAGAGAATAAAGACTGGGATGGGAATAGAGATGAAGCTGTTAAAGATGCAGTTGTTAGAGAAAGTGTTAAGAATGGGAGAAGGGTAATAGGGAAATTGTGTGTGTATTTGTATATATATATATATATTTTGTATATATATATATATAAGTTATATTATTATATATATACACATACACAAACATTTCATCATCAATTACTTTGTCAATACAAATCAATCTTAATAATGAAAATAATTGTTCATTTCAACCCTTCTTATAATGAAGAGTTGAAAGATTCAGCATTATAACTTGTCTTTCTTTATCATCACAATACAACAATACGGACAGCGTTTTAAGAATAAATCCAGTTAATAGACCTCAAATTTGCTGTGCCCAACTATCTTAAAAGTGAAATATGAATCGACACAAACTGCTAGGGATGAGAAATGGCATAATGTCAGAGGTAAAACAAATCATTGCATATTTATAACTCAGTAGGCACTACAGGCGTCATTGATAATGGGGGTCTTCACCGCAAATTGGCAATCAGCAAAGCTTCAGACTTCAGATATTATATCAAGCAATGCCTTCTCTCAAACTGCGATAATTGCAAGACAATAGACCTTGCCTATTGTCCCCACCATGGAATCCCCTTTCACTAGCAGGAAGCTTCACTAACGAGCAATAATTGTTAACAAATTGGCCTCCCAGCCAACAGTGGGACTCACTGTGCAGAATACAGCTAAGAGTAGATGAGCGCTCATCAGCTGGCTACTGGGCATCCCACCCCCAGGGACTCCATAATCCGATTTTCTGGGCTTTAATTTTGCTCTACTGCCTGGAGGCAAGCCAAACAGAGACCTACATCATACAGCACCATTATGGTTAATACCATCCACCATTCTCACTCTTCGTCTCTGCCACCCAAACCGTCCTTGCTACCATCCGCTCCTCATCCTGAAGAAGTCCCAAGGAGTGGGTTTTCTGCAGTTGCCAGGCAATATCAAATCCATGAAGTGCTGTTCACTAAAGTGTCAATTTGACATCAAAGGGTCTTGTTGGGAGACTGAGGAGCGGGGATATAATATTGCATTTGATGAACAGGGGTGCTATGTTTGCTTGCGGTACAATGGACTGTGAAAAAAATGTAAGTCAGAGGCAGTCTTCTGAAATTGTCCTTCGAGGACTGAAAGTGAAGTGCTTTTGAGCAACCAGGACTAGTCTAGTTCTATAGTCAGCATAGATAGAAAATGTAAAACCATGAAGGGTCAAATACAATATCCTCCCTGCATAGAGAGACAAATATAAGATTGAGAATGTGCTGACAGTATCCAATATTAGTACATGTGAAGAAGTGCGCTCTGTGATGTTGCACTCACTGACCCCGAAAGGTTAAGATGCTCATCGGTCACCCAAATGGTCTTCACTTGTGCAGCGAGACTGATACAGTAGCCTCTGCCTGCGGTCAAGCAGCACCTCTCAGTGGGACATGCAGAGTGAAAGATGCTCTTTGAAGAGTGCATTAAGACTGATAAAAGCTCTCCCGAGGTGTTTTATGGCCATGGGTTTTACAGTGTGACAGGCTGAATTTACCTGAGACTGCATTTCCGATATGACTTGAGGGCAGGATTAGCACATTATAGATACATTTAGTAAAACCATTTACTTTCTGACAAGGTGAAGCTTCACTGGATATATAAATTGTCTCTTTGCCTATCTGGTACTTTTTTTAACGTGAAAGTTATGATCAGGGTTAACACTATAGGAAACCTACTCAATAAATTGTATTGTTTAACATTTATATGGAAAATGAAAGCAGCTATTTTGTATAAGTCTGTATTTCATATTGACAACAACTGATTTTGTCTCCTTCCATGTCCTTTCGACTTCCCCACTGTCCTTTTCCTACTGTCCAGTGGTCGTTTATCATCCGGTCTGCCCTTTGCCTGCTCAGGTAGAAACAGGCTCTCAATCGTGTTCATTCTCTCAGTTAATGGGCCTCACATCGCTGGGCATGGAGAAGCGATTTGTCCTCACTGTGATGGGTGTATTTTGAGGTTTCTTCAATTGCATTTCTGACAAACTGGTATTTGAGCTCACCTTAAACCTGGAGGTATAACCTTCATCCAAGTGTGTAATGTAGGTATATGGCCGAGTTGTAAACCCTCATACCCTCCGACATGCCTGCCTAATGCTCACACAGCCATAGAGTATTTTTCTCTGCTTCTATTTTCACACATATGCACACAACATACATACACACATACGACAATAAAATGAGCAACAAATACAACACTGATCAAGACGCTGCCAGCATAGAATGTAAAATCACAATCAGTACCCACATACTGTATTTGTATGGATTTCTTGTTGCGGGATAAATACCGCCGACCGCAACTCACCAGAGCACAAAAGTTGGATCAATTCAAGATTCCACTGCATTTGGTTCGTCAGCCTGACATGCATCCCATCTGAATGACTTTTAAATTGGGTACAAAATGGAGAGTATTTTTCATTTCTATTCTGGCTGCAAATTTTCTGGCTGCCAATCACCGCTATTGTCAGAGAAGCTCTTGACAGCCGCTTAGGTGAAGAAGACGCCTGTCATCCAAGGAGCTGATTTTTCCACATATGGCAAATATGAGATGAGTATTCTTTAATAACAATAGACATAAAGATTAGGTTTGGGACAGAAAAGTCGGGATCATCCCAGGTCTATGGAAGAGATGTCTGTGTTCCAACACTTGTGCAAGCTTATGGTAACCTTGACAACAAAAAAAGAGCTGAAGATTTAATAAGAGGCACTTATTGCTGTGATTACTTGTCTATGGCAATGTCTGTCAGGAATATCAAGTGTCCCTGCAGTGTTTAATACATAAACAGGTTTATTAGGCCAGCTCTCACACACCAGGTGGGTGGAAATCTCTTCGGTGTGAGCACTGAAGATTGAAATCCTGTTCACATGAATGGAGAGCCGTGGGGATCTGAGAGTGGTTTGTGATGTGACGCGTGGCTCAGATCTGATCGCCCACTGCCGCTGTAAAGCAGCCACTCCTCCTGGGTATCCATGTGACTTGATTTGGGAGTAATTAAATGAGGACCTTTTGTGAATGAATCATCATCGCAGCCTGCTTCCACCGATGACAGCTTTGACGGGAGTTGGTCCAACGTGCACACACGAATGCACAGGTGGATGCTTCAAAGCCAGCATGGCCAGACTGTGGGAAGCCAACCAAAACATCTTTCTCAGTGACAATAAATTATTAAAAAGGCTTCAATCTTTAATTCACGTGGGAACATGACCATGGATAAAAATAGCAAATTGTGGGCTTCCTTCCATGTGAACGTATGCAATATTGCTTTGCAAGCAATCAACATAATCTAATTCATAGCATGAAAAGGTTTTTAAACTCATATTTCTGCCCACACAAAGTGTCTATGGACCTTTTTTTCAAGCCCTGCAAATTACATCAATGAATTATGAATCACTGGGTTATTTGATTCTGTGATTAATATGATTATCTAATAATTTAACAACGTTTATGTATCTACCTCGCTAATAAGCTGTGATGAGATATCAGTAACACTTTTTTAAGGGCAAACACAAAAATGTTTCTTGTAAATTATGGTGACACGTAAAAGATAAATTTTAACAAAGCTTAGCTTGCCTGACATTCTTATAAAAATCACATTTGTTTTACTGCTAATGAGCTTCTTCTAGACATTGCACCTCGACATCTCCAAGGAGTTTTCCTTAGACTTATACACAAAACAGCACATGACAAACTGTATACACATACCCCACAACACAGACTAGAAACCATCTGGTTAACCTTGATGCTCCCCTTTGTCTGCATGGAGATAAAACAAAGTGCACAACAGACAGGAAGCTCCAGCTTTTTACTATCTGACTGTGAAACTGCTGAGGAAGTGACATATGCCAAGTTTTTGGTTTAGTCGGGAAAAAGCAGAAGACAAGAAAGAAAATCTGAGCTCTGGATAAAATACTGTCTGAGTGGTGGAGCTATATTCTGAATTAGGATTGCGCGACGTGAAAATATTGTATGTACAAATTTGTCAAAAACATAGGATTTTGCAACACAGATAGTAGTAGGCTATTTCAGGCAATGCTACAAATCAATAAGCAAGACTGGTAAAGGACCAGTTTGTAACACTTATTGGTGTCTAGCAGTGAAGTTGCATATTGCAACCAACTGAACACCGCTCACATCAGTATTTCATAACCTGGGAATGAAAACGGGTTGTGATGTGTGAAAAAGAAACTACAGTTTGTCCATTCTGGGCTACTGTAGAAACATGCCGGCTCAACATGGCGGACTCCATCAAACAGATAAAAACAGGTCATTCTATGGTAACGAAAATACATTAATTCCAATATTCATCTGATTATATACTAATGAAAACATACCTATGAATGTTA